TTCTAATACATGGATGCTTAAAACAATATGGTTGATGTTTTAAATGAGTGAGAGCCAACCCTTTATACCAATAATGACATTTAGCACATCGTCCATATGAAATTTCTGTGGACATGTATTTTCTAAGAACATTATTAGGCATATAAATGTATAAGGAATAGTGTAAATTTGTTTTAGGCACATGGGTGAATCAAAGATTCGTGCATTTGGCACTGCCCTTATTCCAATTAAAATTGTGACTATATTCTACCATTATATGAAAATTAGCTATTTATTATATTTTTATTATTTTATCAAGCGAATGTACTGGCATGTGAATTTAAAAATAATAAAAATACAATAGGGTATACCTGAAAAATTAGGTCACATGAAAAAAACGTGTAGGTATTATCGAAGCAAGCATGTTATCAATAACAATTCATTTTTAACGAGTAATACTAGATTTCTGAATCAAATTCATTTAGTGTGAATTTTCGCATTTAAACTTTTTTTACTTTTTTTTTCTTTTTAGAACACCTACTATGAATTTCTCTTGCATCTATTTCATCTATAACACCCTCTAAATATTCTAAATAATTATTCGTAGTTTTTTGTTTTTTCTCCATATCATTGATTGTTTAGAGAGCTTTTTATATTTCTGTTCATAGTTTGGGCTTGATATCATTGATACTGGAATAAAATTAATATCTGAAGAGTCAAAGACTCGATGTTTTGCATCACCACTATATACTATCACTGTTTTAATTTCTTGTGTTTTATTAAAATAATATATATTAGATATTTATTATAGGGAAAAAAATATATGCTTTAATAATTAGTAGTTATAAAGATAAATAAATTTGATATTATATTAACAATGCATTTATTTTATTATAACAAATATGATAATCAAAACGAAACACATGATCAATTATATGACTATTTTATATAAAAAGAAGGATATAATAGCAATTCAAGAAAACTTGGTATTAACGGCAATGCAAATCATGTAACAGTGCATCAAAATAAGACAGAACAAAACCCGAAGGAAAAACGCTTGATGATTCATATAAGTTGTTATTACATTTGGTGGAAAATCTTGACATTGATAACAATCCCATTCTAGCAGTGGAGTGGTATAACACTGTTGTAAATCTAAGCAATAAAGTTTCTATTGATTATCACTTTCGAAATTATATAATTTGCTTTTATATTTAGAAAAGGATATAATGCAATTCAGGAAGAACTTGGTATTGTCGGTTATACTAATCTATAAATAGCAGAAGCAGCTGATAAAAACGCAAGAGCATATCTTCAAAAGTTTGAGAAATTTCATGATCCCTTAGAAGATGTCCCAAGTGTGATATTACAAAAATTTGGTGGTAAAGAAAATTTGGATTACCGGAGAGGGACTTCCATTGTTTCCAAATGTCTCTCCTAAACAATTACATGAAGTTTTCACCAAAAAATTGGCTAGCACCGATCAGTATCCATGTCTAGAATAAGATAGCTAATCTTTTCATTATTTTTATCATTACAGTATATTTATTTCTGATTTTTTTTACTGTATACTGATAGCAGAGCTAGTGTCTAAAGATACATAAAAATTAATTTTTAATCCAATGGTCGAAAATAATACCCCTGAATCCATTAAAATCCACAAGATAATATTGCTCCAGTAATAGAATTAATGGCAGAGCCAGCGTCTAAAAGTCACATGAAAAAATTAACAATATCAGGAATGATCAAGGATACAAAAGAGATCTATGATTCAGGCGGACAGTGTTCAACTATTACATATGGAAAAGTAAAAGAGCTGGGTTTAGTAACAGATACTGATAGAATAGTTTCCAACATTACTGATCAATTATGATATAAAAAGATTCATATTGATTTAAACTCGATAGAAAATCCACATATTTGCTGCAAAAGAAAATTTAATATTAAAAGCAAAAAACTAAAAAACATTATAATATATGTATTTCTAGTTCATCTGAATCTGAGAGTATTAGTTCTGATTCATTTGAAGAGTGAGTTAGATTTTCAATATAAAAATAAGTAAAGCTTAATTAATTTTCATCATAAATTTTATACGGTCTTGCATGTTCCGGGAGTTGTCCTCTTTTGCGATAGTTGACTACAATGTAATTTTGTACAGGAGAAACATTGTTCGTAGGAGTATGATGTAGACACTGTCCAGCAATTGTCATAAGATGAGCTGGATTTTTAGCTCCATGTACTATAGCACCATATACTGCTCCCAATTTACGTAAATGTTTAGGTAAAAGACCATAAGGTTTTAAGTACATATTAAAGCATTTTACACCAGATTTTCATGGATTACCTATTTTTCCAGAAGCAATAGTATCTTGTATCCAGGCAAGTAATTCCTTTGCTTCTTCTTTATTTTTTCCCATAGATATAAATTTTCTTGGAATATCTTGTTGACCCCTATTTTCATAAAGTTGTAATTTCTGCTGGACGTAAACAGAGCATTATCATAACATCAGCAAGGGCTAAATAATTGGGTGAAGTTTTTATATCATATGCATCCAGTCTTTAACCGATTCTAATGTGAATTCATCTGGATAATCAATCCTTTCAAAAGCCTCAATATATTTTTATGGTCTCTCTGTTTTTCATTAATTTTTTTTGTTACATCAGGTAATTTTGTAGCTTCAACTATTTTTTTCGGAGCATAAAGATTACTCAATTCCCTTCTAAGACATGAAAGTCATGATGATACAGCAATGACATTTTTTGCAGAATTAGCTAAATTTTTTGCTATAGCTTTTACTTCTTTTCACTAAGATTATCACGTAAAATTTGTTGAGCTATTTCTTTCGATTGTTTCTCTTATATTTATTATTTCAGGTGAAATGGCGTTTTGAATTGTAAGCTTTTTGGATAGGGATTAATGTAAATATTCGTTCTTCATTGAAATTATACCCTTCTCGAAGCCGTCTTTGTGCTTTGTTTCTCTTTCTATCATCTGTAAGGTTTTTAAGAAATTCGGTGTATATTGAATAAGTTCAGATATACTCATCTTTGGAGTGATATCATATTCATCAATGAGTGTGATTGTAATTGCTGACATGATAATGAGTATTAGGTTATGAAATAATTCTTTAGGTTATACTATATGCCATTAGAAAATATTTTCAATTCGAAATTTAATTATCCCAAAATTTAATATTAATATATTACTATCTAACACTCCAGTCCACTAAAAAAATGAATGAAAGTATTTTTTTTTTACACAGAAAATAACTACTTTAAGATTTTCACATTATAATAAATAATTAGCTAAATCCTATAAAGGTAAATAAATATTTCACAAAATAAAATTTATTAAAACATTATCTAATTAAATAAATTTATTTTTTATAATAACCAGGGAGTAAGTATTATAAATTAACTTTTACAACACAAAATAAACTTTATCTTCAACATCATCTAATTAAATAAATTTATTTTTTATTTCTTTATAATAACTAGCTGGTAAGTATTATATTATAAATCAACTTTTACAACACAAAATAAACTTTATCTTCAACATCATCTAATTAAATATTTTTATTTTTTTATTTCATAGTTGGTAAGTATTATATTATAAATCAACTTTTCACCAACTAAATTTTATTAAAACATTGTCTAATTAAATAAATACAATTTTTAATTTTTTTATAACCAGATTGTAAGTATTATGCTTTTACACACATAACATAAAATAAATTTTATTAAAACATCAACTAAATAAATTCAAATTTTTTTTTTTGCAATAACTAGCTGGTAAGCATTTTATTGTATTATAAATCAACTTTTATAATTTTTATATTTAATCAATAAGTTTATTTTTTTATTATAATAACCAGCTGGTAAGTAATATATAATAAATTAACATAAAATAAACTTTATTAAAACATTGTCTAATAATAAATTTTTATAATAATCAGGAAGTAAGTATCATATCATAAACTTTTACAAGTAGTTTTTATTAAAACATCAACTAATTAATAAATTTATTTTTCTTTATGACAACCAGCATGTAAGTAATTTTTATAGCATAAAACAAACTTTCATAGCATCATCTAATTAAATATTTCTTATTTCTTCATAATAACAGCTGGTAAATGTTATATTATATATCTAAATATATAAATTTATTTTTTGTGTATTATAATAATTAATGACTGAAGGTAAAATAATTTATAAATTTAATTTTTTTTATAACTTTTAAATGAATGTTTATTTTTATTATGTTGAAAATAATAAGATAACACCAAGGGGTTTATAAAATGGAAGGGAATATGTTCTGTTTGTAGAAGATATAATACTAATTACCAGTGGTGTCAATCATGTGATCCCAAATTGTTAGCTCAAAGTTGGACTAGCAGTGGTAATAAAAAATTAGATGAAATAATCAGAAATACACAGCTTGAAGCAAAAGGATTTGATAGTTATCATTACCTTGAGTGGATTCCTTATGACCAACTCACAGTTAAAAAAGCAATAGGTAAAGGTGGTTTTGCAACTGTGTACAAGTGTCACTGGTCAAATGGTCCTAGATATGTTTACAAAAATACAAGATATTATTGCAATGGTGGTCATGTAGCATTAAAAAAGGTTAAAAATTCTCAAGACATTTCTGAAGAGTTTTTGAAAGAGGTAAATAATTTGATATAATTTGACAATTAATGATTTTTAAATAATATATTAAATTTTTATTAATTTTCATAAAGCTTCAAAATCACATTAAATTTATAGGACCTCATCAAATGGGTATAGTTAATATTTATGGTATTTCACAAGATCCAAATACAAAAGAATATGTACTCATAATGAGATATGCAGACCAAGGAGATTACAGGGAATATTTAAAATCAAATTGTAGAAATTGGAATGACAGAATCACAATACTTTATGACATCATTTCAAGTTTAAACACATTTCACCAAGAAAAACTTACACATGGTGATCTTCACAGTGGTAATATTTTATATTTTGAATATTTACACCAGGTAATGATTACAGATTTAGGATTATCAGGCTCAGCTGATCAAGAATCATCAAGTGAAAGTAAAAATGATATATTTGGAGTACTACCATATGTTGCACCAGAGGTATTAAATAAGAAACCTTACACATCAAAATCAGACATTTACAGCTTTGGGATTTTAATGTCAGAAACATCAACACATCAACAGCCATTCAAAGATCAACCACATGATCTAGACCTTGCATTGAAGATTTGTGGTGGCCTAAGGCCTAGTTTTTCAGATAATACTCCAGAATGTTATATCAAGTTAGCATACAAATGCACGGATGCTGACCCTGAAAAAAGACCAACAGCAGATGAAATTTTAAAAATTATTACTTTTTGGAAAGATGCAGTTTGCACAATTGGTACCAACAAAACCCTAAAACACAAACTTAATTATAATAAATTAAAAGAATTAAAAGAAATAAGAAAAATATTTGAGAAAGCAGGTAAAATACCCTTCAACCCTTCAACAATTACAGCAACTGTTCATCCAAATGCTGTTTATACAAGTAGATTATTGAATTTTACAAATCTTCCTCAACCTGTAAATTCCAATAAGGTTACAATCATTAGTAACAACAATGGTAATTACCTAATTTATTGTTACACATTTAATCTTAATTATTTATTATTAATGATATTTTAAATTATATATTTTAAATTATAGAATCTAAACAAATTGAATTAACTATGCCAGATTCTAAACAAATTGAATTAACTATACCAGAATAAGTCTTATTCATCTGATTATTGGAATTTTCAGCTAGTCTCTTAGGAGGTGAACAGACACCACATCCTATTATTGTCAAAAAAATTTTTAACAATCAATCAAATACTACATGCTTTATAATTTGTCTACCTATTTTAAATTGGAGTAAACTCTTCTTTGTGGTCGAAGTGACCTATCACTTTTATCATAGAATTTTTATATTCAAGCATTTATATATTTTATTTAAATTTTGGAATTTTATTCATCTATAATCAAAAATATTTATAATAATAAAAACAAAAGAATTTTATCTCTGATATATTTGTTCATTAATATATTTGTCAATGTATTGTGAGATTACGCCTGAGTCAAAAATAATAATTTCTGAAAATATGTACAGGTATGGATTTTACTTTAAACTATTTTTCACTAGGTTTTACTATAATACATATAGCCACTCCAAAGTGAATGATAGTGGGTTCTTTCAATATTTGCATCTTACATATGATTTGTATATTGTTTGTGGGTTATATATAACACGAGACAAGGTTGATTTGTTTTAATGATGGGATGATCTTTAATAAAATGAAGTGATGGTTAGAGATTGTGTGGTTGGCACTTGTTCAACTTCCCAAAAATGGGTTAAAAAAAGGTTGTTTGGATCGAATGATGGGATGATCCAATGTAAGATATAATGATGTAGAATGTAAATGATGGGATGATCTGATGTGATTTATTTGTGATGGTTAGAGTGAGTGTTTTGCTTGAGGGTTTGGGACACCCTGAAACACACAACATTTCATTTTGCATCTTACATATGATTTGTATATTGTTTGTGGGTTATATATAACACGAGACAAGGTTGATTTGTTTTAATGAT